ATCGGCAGTGATGCCAGATTCTATCAAAAAAACAGTAGATTTTGTTTTTATTCACCTTATAATTACAAAAATTATACAATTAGTAATAATGAAATAACGTAAAATTGCAATTTGCATTGTTTCACTAGGTAAGTTCAATTAAAACGACATGTATCAACTGATTTATATATATATATAAATTATAATTCATTATATTTCATTTAAATTTAAATTTTAAAATTCGTGCGTAACCGGTCAACGCGGTAATTCGACAAAAACATAACCTTATTACATTTCTGCAATCGGGTTGTGTTTGTATTGTATTTATTTTTCTATTGTGTTTGTTGTGTCCACGTGATATTATAGTTAGATATAAATTGATAAAAGTTATTCAGGTAAGTGTGAAAAATATAAGGATTAAATCGTAACAAGCATTTTTCCATCATAATTGATTATTTTTCTTGGGATATTACTTGGGGTGGTTCCAAGGGGAAAATTGAATTAAGAAAAACAAAAATTTGCAATACCCCATATCGTAAGTGCCTACTATTTTTTTTTTAATAAAATAATCAATGTTATTTTTAATTTGCTGCAAAAACGTCTAATTCGTTTGAAGGACCCTCAAATAAAGGGTCCTTTAAACATGAAATCAAAGAGGTTATTGGGGCTACAAAACAACGGCAAAAAAAATGCGGAAAAACAAACAACCAAAAATAAATTGAACTCAGTTAAGAACCAATAATAATTATATTAAATATTAAATTTTACTTTTGAGTTTTTAGGATTTTGATTAACCAGTTTCCCATGCTTTATTTACTTAAATATTTTTAATTACTTCGTAATTTTTTTTAGTTTACTTTGGTTTTTAAAATCACTTGACGAGTATTCATCAAGATTTGCATTTTTATATACTTTTAAATTTTTATTTTGTAATTTTTAAAAATATTTTTTAATTGATCAACCTGTGCATTTTTATTTACTTTTATGATTTTTGACAATAGGATTTTTTATTTTACTAATGTAATTTTTAAAAATATTGATCAACTTGTGCATTTTTATTTAATTTAAGATTTTGTGATTTTACTTTTGTGATTTTTGACAGTACCTATTTTTAAAATCACTTGATCAATTAATCAACTTGTGCATTTTTATTTACTTAAAAACTTTGTTATTTTTAAAAGTATTTTTAAAAACAGCTTTTTTTTGTTTCAGATTTTTAATTTTTAGGATTCTATTTTTTAATTGGATTTTTTGAAAGTATTTTTAAAATCACTTGATTAATTGATCAACATGCGAATTTTTAATTTAAGATTTTTATTTATGTACTTTTTATTTAGGATTTTGTGATTTTTAAAAGTATTTAAATATATATATATATATATATATATATATATATATATATATATATATATATTATTATAAAATCACTTAATGAATTAATCAACATGTGCATTTTTATTTACTTCAAGATTTTTATTTGCTTTAAGATTTTGTGATTTTACTTTTTTGATTATTTAGTTTAGTATTTTTAAAATCACTTGATTAATTAATTGATCATGTGCTTTTTTATTTACATAAAGATGTTTTTATTTTACGTTTGTGATATTTATTTACTTTTTCCCTTTACTTGAATATTTATATATACATATATATGTATATAATAATAATAATAATAATAAATGTCTTTATTGATTATAAGAGATACAATCAATGGCTCTTCCACTTAACCCAATATATATATATACACTCCGCCAAGAAAGTATCGCATCACCATTATTTCTTAATACTACAAATATATCAATGATATATAAATGTTTATAAGGATGTTTTTAAATATTTTCCAGTTATTTTATTTGTAAAATCATAAAAAAACACAACATCAACGAAAAGCAATGGTTTTATTCAATTTAATTCACAAATAATGAAAAATGTAAAAAACAATGTTAATTAAAAATAAATCTAATGACATATAAAATAAATTTAGTAACGCGTATTGCCCCCTCTAGCTCTTATTACTTCACGACAACGTTGTGTCATGCTTTCAATTAATGTCCTTAAATAATCCTGATTTAAATTATCCCATTCTGCAGTTAATAGCCGTTGCAGGTCCTGAAGATTAGCTGGCAGCACGTTTCCAGCTCTTACCCTTCTATAAAGATAGTCCCAAACATGTTCTATTGGGTTTAAATCTGGACTGCGTGCTGGCCATCCTAAAACTGGGATATTTACCTCCTGAAGGTACTCGGTTACTATCCTTGCGACGTGGGGGCGTGCATTGTCATGCATTAAGACGAAATCGTCACCAACAAATGGGGCGTAGGGGACAACATGTTGATCCAAAATGTCTCTAATGTACCTGTCAGCAGTTAAGGATCCTCCATCTAGCACCACCAATTCCGTAAAACCACTTAAAGATATTCCTCCCCAAACCATAATAGACCCTCCTCCAAAATTTGCCGAAGGTCTTATGTTGCATTGAGAATAGCGCTCGCCGTCTCGTCTATAAACAGGTATTCTTCGGTCTGATGTGTATAAACTAAATCTTGACTCATCTGTAAAGAGTACGTTACCCCAGTTTTCAATATTCCAATTAACATGTTCTCTAGCAAATGTTAATCGTGCTACACGGTGTTCCCTGGTGAGTTGAGGTGCAATGACAGCTACTCTGGCTCTAATTCCAGACTGCCTTAAGATGTTTCTCACAGTTTCTGAAGATATACGTACATTCCGAGTCTCAGCCAAGTCATGCTGAAGTTGACTTGCAGTTACATGTCTTCGACGCAGAGCCTGAAGAGTCAAAAATCTATTGTCTGCAGGCGTAGTTGCTGTCGGCCGGCCTGATACTGCTCGTCTGTTATATCCTCCAGTCTCTCGGAATCTAACAAGTACTCGGGATACTGTCGATTGGTTTACACCTACTAAATTAGCCACGTCGTCCATCTTCAACAAGAGAAACTATTCTAATTACTTGTTCCCTAGTTAATAAATTACTTGTTCCCTAGTTAATAAATTTAAATTTATGTTTGCACGACCTTCCATATTCAATATTCTTTGCAAAATTTGTAATTAAACACAAATTGTGTGCACTTGAACAAAGCAAAATATAAAATAATAAGTAATTAAATCCGATTTAATCTGACAAAAAAGTTTTTTCGCAGTTTTTTGTGAAACAATACATTGTTTTTGTATTTTCGTTTGTCAACATTTATTCCATTGTATAAATGAATTAAATTTAATGGTAATATTTTTAGATTTATAGGTGATGCGATACTTTCTTGGTGGAGTGTATATACATATATATATACACATATATTGGTGGTTTTCCGGGATCTGCTACGTGTTGTCGGTTTTTGTGGTTCTTAGAAGAACCGTATGTCTGACGACGTTTCGGTACAATCTCATGTAATATGCTCCCACCACGTGACTACGTACGGTCTTTTGAAAATTTGGCATTTAAAGCTTTTCAGGTTATGTATCTGTCAAAGTATAGTCAATGAAAGAAATAATATTTATACTGTTATCGCTTATGTTTAAGCGTTAAAAGTTAATAAATCTTCATAGGATCACAATAACAATGGTTGCGCTGGAAATGCTTCGGTACACGTACGCTTTAAATGCGATGGCACATGTGCGCATATGTAATGGCATCTGTATAGCGATCTGCGCGCACGCGTGCACTCACAGTGCGCGCATCGTGACTACATTTTGCTATCTGGGCTATGTCGAACTTTAACGTCGAAAATTTAATAACGAACATTTGTATATATTTAGACTTAAAAAATTGTTTAATCTTCACGTTTATTTTCGAATTTACAAAAAAAATTGCAAAATTGTCAAAAATTATATTTTTTAATTTTATTGACTTTTTACGTATCATAACGTCGTTTTAAGTTTTTGTAACCCTTGTTAAATAATTTATACAACTTCTTTATTTTTTATACCTTAAAAGTATTTACAAGCAAAAATATCATTTTTAAATTTTGCAATTTTTTTGTCAATGCGAAAATAAACGGTAAGATTTAAATAAAAATCGTGTCTAAAATGTTTGTTATTAAATTTCCTAAATTGGCTATTAGAAAAAAATTCTTCGACTGACCCTTTTCTGGCATGTTTTTGGGTGTCCTGAACACTAAAAAAATATCCCAGCTCTGTTGCAAAATCTCTGAAGAAAGTGTAATTGTTGCAAAAGAAACAAACTGTTTATTTCATGTAAAACACATTGAATATAGAATACTAATATGAAAATTACAAACATAATTTACATTAGTATAATAATAATAGATGTCTCTGAAGTTCGTATTTCGTACTTAATTGATAGTTGTTTACTTGTTTATTTTAGTGGTTATTGTTATCGATTTTCTTTGTGTAAATTTTGAGTGTTATATTGTTTTTTTATTTTGAAACTTTCAATGGGGGCGGGTTTAAACTCCCGACCTTCCGTCTTGTGCCCAGGGTTTTAGAATGAACAATCAAGTTTTGAATTAATCTGCAAAAATAATCTGTTTTTAACCATTAACACTGAATGCATCTCCTTGCTTATTTTGAAAAAAATATGGTCCAATAATTCCTCCCCAATGTTTTTAATCAAACGCCAGTACGTCGATTTACTGGGATTATCTGATTTAACAAACTTCTATGTTGAACGATTAGTAAAACCGAAACTTGCACGAAAGGCACGAAAATTTTTGCCAAATAGAACCAACTTTTCAATAAAAAAGTACTTATTAAATTATACTAATGGATCGGCCCAGAGCAAGAACCAGGTATTTCTAAAACAACTAAATTTTACAGAAATGCTAGGCGGCTAGCCAGGATTAAATATAAAATTAAAAGAATATTAATTTATTGAAGGCGACTTTATAGAATAACGTTTTTCTTACCTACTGTAACATTTCCATATTTGGAGATACCTGGTTATTGCACTGGACACCTCAATTACAAATAACTTTACAAACCTTCCTTATTGGCTGTATACTTTTAACTGGTAAGAATGTTTGTATTTATAAATTAAATGCTTTTAGAATAATCAATCCCATACTGGAAAGTGCTATATATGAAGAAGATTCTCGCGTGTATCGTAGTAAAGCTGTAACTGTTGAGCAATGCAGATGTCCTCCCAATTATCAAGGGTTATCTTGTGAAGAATGTGCTCCTGGGTATTATAGAATTCAGTCTGGATCCCATGGAGGATACTGCCAACCCTGTGTATGCCACGGTCATGCAACCGAATGTGATGTTAATACTGGAGTTTGTTTGGTAAGATATTAGATATTATTAAATGTAAATTTCTTATCCAGTGCAAAATTATTCTTAATTTAATGGCAAATGTGACCAAAAAGGGATTGTATTTTGGGCAATTTCTAACAGTTTTATTTTTAATACTTTTGTTTAGAACTGTACTCATAATACTAAAGGAGACCATTGCGAAGTTTGTGAAATTGGTTACCATGGAAATGCCTTAGGTGGTACCCCGAATGACTGCCTAATTTGTGCATGTCCGTTGCCGAGTACAAGTAATAAGTAAGTACCTACATTTTTGTTCAGATTATATAGTACCTATACGTAATATTGCCAAAAAATGGATGATAAATAATAAAAAAAACTGCTAACCCATGTTAAGTAGTAGTAAATTGTGATTTTTGTATAATATAATGTTTACGGGGAAGTTACTAAAATTGCATGTTTAAAAAAATTTAATTAAACCTATTTGATATCATTAAAAAGCTCTCGATGCAAGTTATTATTTAAAAACAATCATATACATCATTATAAGTGACAGTCACATTCACAATGTGACCGCGGCCACGAAAGCAATGACCGCGGTTACTTGCCAAGTCTACTTTTAAGTAATTTAATTTTAGCTTTGCAAATTCTTGTGATGTCAGTAATGATGGGGAGAGGATAAGTTGTGAATGTGAACATGGCTACATTGGAGCTAGATGTCAATCGTGTTTACCAGGGTTTTATGGCCAACCTGAACAGCCAGGAGACTTTTGTAAAGCTTGCCAATGTTCTGGAAACATAAATATTGACGAACCGGGTTCCTGCGATACTATAACTGGAGAATGCCTTAAATGTTTAAATAACACATTCGGAGTTGCATGTGCATTGTGTAAACCAGGTTTCTTTGGCGATGCAGTGAATAGAAAGGATTGTCAAGGTAATACAACTATCTAAATTACATTTTTGCGCCTATTCGTTTTTATTTGCCGTCATATATATAATATATTTTAGCATGCATTTGTGACAAATTGGGCATCAATCACTGTGATAGTAGTACAGGAACATGTATATGTAAACCTAACGTAGTTGGGGAAAAATGTGATAGATGTGATGTAGAGCATTTTGGATTCGACTCAGGTAGAGGATGCTCTCCATGCAATTGCAGCAGTGCATCAGATAGTTCTCAATGTGACGATACAACAGGGCAATGTAAATGTAAGTCTGGAGTAACTGGTACCACTTGCAATAGATGTCAGGCGGGATACTGGAACTATACATCAGATGGATGCATTTGTAAGCAATGTGGTATTATTCTTATGAGATTTATGTTTAATGTTTATATTTATTTTAGCTTGCAGGTGTAAAAGTGAATTTTCTCAAGGTGTTAGCTGTAATCCACGTACAGGTCAATGCGAATGTATGCCCGGTGTTATAGGAGAAAAATGTGACCAATGTCCATATAGATGGGTATTCACACCTAGTTATGGTTGTCATGAATGTGACAATTGTCATTACGCTTTGTTAGATACTGTTGATAATTTTGGAGCGTTAATAGATCCCATTATTATTGAATTTGATGTAAGTATATAAAAACCAGAGGATATCAAGTGGGTATATATATACCATTTTAATATTTTTAAAATAATACTTAAATTTTACTTTAATATTGGTTTTGGAAAAATGTTTAATATATTTTAAATATGTTGAACAATATATTATAATTAAAACACATTATTAATTAATACATAACTAGATAAGTTAAAAATCACAACTTTTCATGACAGTCTTTAATTTTTTATGAATTTTTGTAACAATTTATTCAATTCTTTAGCCATTCATATTTCGACTAGACCTTTTTACACGATAAAACTATAAGTCGATTTTTGCTAAACTGGAATGAGTGCAGATAAAGTACCTACCTACTTTTTATTTAATATTGGTTCCATTATTTTAGTCAACAAATTCCGGATACTTTACAAGGAGACGCTTAGAAAGTATGGAAGACCTATTCAAAAAAATTAGACCAATGATGGATGACGTTGATCCCCGACAAATTCATATAAAAGATTACTTGAACGAGATAGAGTCTCTAGAACATGATTTAAAGAATTTAAACCGAAAGGTAATTATTTTTTATCAATATGTAATATGTAATATGTAGTAGCTCTTTACGAATTAAAACTCTCTGAGTAAGGCAAGATACAATGTTTGCCAAAAAAGTAATGCAATAAGGTTTAAAAAAACAAATATTTATATATATAAGGTTCATAATTGACGCATATTGCACAACGTGATTGTAATCCGCTCGTATGCACGCATATATGCATAATTTGCGTCATCAATTGAGATTCATATAGCCAGCACATGTGATGGTTGGAGAAACATTGCGAAGTTAATAATTTACGCATATTGCAGTCACAACGTGATTCTTAATCCGCACGTATGCCACATATATGCATCATTTGCGTCATCAATAGGTTCATATAGCCAGCACATGTGATGGTTGAAGAAATTTTTCTGGGCATGATTAACAGGTGAATTTTGGAATTGCATTGCCTTAATTTGATTGTTTTTCTTACGTTTCGATTAGTAATTATATTTAATTGTCAGTTATTACCTGAAGTCCATTAGAGACAATTACTAATCGAAACGTTGTAAGAAAAACAATAATTCATAAAATTTATTTATTGCGAAATTTTGGTAATTAAGTAATAATCCAAAAGTTCTTTATCTTTAAGTTATTTATTTTAGTTTTTTCGAGTGTACTGTACCTATAACATTCTGTATAACATATCCCTGCCGAAAATGCCCCTTTAAGAACAATAGAAACCAATGGGAATGTATTGGGTCTTATAGGTTTGAATCTGGTGAATTGGTATCAATTGGAAAACATAATTGTCTTGAATTAGTTTGATTGGGTATTTTCCATTTAGCCCTAAAACCATTTGGCGACATATAGAACCCAATAAAAACCAGTATCAATACACATATTCAGTCCAGTACAAACCATTTCATTCTCTTATTGGTTTCTAAGGGTCATTTTCGGCAGGGATAGCACGCATATGCGTGTAATTACTGTAGATAGGGGAAAAGAGCAGCATTTACCGTTTAAACCTATGTTTGGAAATGATTTCTTTATTCATCCACTTGAAGATACCCCCAGTGGCGGCTGGCGGATTTTGGGTATACCGATATCTCAATTATTAGATATAATAATAATAATATAATAATAATAATAATATTTATTGCTATCAATAACTTACAGTTTCTTAAAATTAAGCGTTTACAAAATATGAATATATTAAAAACAGGCAATAAATATGCTATTTTACACTATATGGGGCCCACAACAAATTTATATAAGTTTATAATGACATTATAATAATATAAATAAACAAGTTCTGCGCAAGCTTGCGAAAAAAGAGAACCTTTTGCTTGGCGGTACCGGCTCTATGGCGCCCCCAATAAATATAATATAAATTTAAATGATGCAATTTATTATTTACCATAGTTTATCAAAAAATTTCAAATTTTATTTAAAAAATCCAAATCATACAGATTTTATATTATTTTAAATTTTTATTAACTTTTTTTCGCAAACTTCAATTTAAATTCTGCTTGCGCGGAACTTGTTTATTTAATGTCATTATTACGTTTGCTTTTATTAACAAAAAAGGAAAATGCACAAAAACTCAAGAACTAAATTAGGTTTATTTTACTCCAAAATTTAAACATACAATTAGTAATTTAAATATGACTGCTATTGTAAAAAGTAACAGCTGCCAAAAACTTTTTTGAAAACATCGGAGGCAAGTCATATACGGCAGCAAATTTATTGGTAGATTTTCTTCCAAATAATCCAAATTTATCAATAATTTTTTACATGAGTTTCCTGTAAAGAGGACCCCCATGTATGACCGTGACAAAGAGTTGTCCACTGATTGCATACCTTTGGAGGCTCATTTAAAAGGTTGGTGTATAAGGTATTTACAGTACCTAAAAAAATATCATAACGTGTTAAATAAAATAAAAAACATTTATCGAAGCCCTTAAAAATCTCCACCTTGAACATCGCTTCTGTAAAAGAATAATAGCCCGGACAACAGGCAAACCAACCACTTTTATAAGAATAATTACGAGCTCCCATTCCACTTCCGAAAAGCTGCTCTCCCACGGTTTTTACTTTAAATACCGTCACTACCCAGTATACCCAAGCAAACCTCCAGCTTCACTCCCATAACCATGTAAAAAATGTTTATCCTTTGATCACGCATCTGAAAATTGTATCTCCCCAAGAAAATGTACAAAATGCTTCGGAACTCATGCAGATAACAAGTGCACTTCCACGTTACCACCAAAATGCACTGGATGTGGCTCTTTGGAACATCAGGCATGGTCTTTACAATGCCCTAAGAGACCTACACAACCATTAGAAGGAATTCCGAACATTCCTATTAAGTCCATCAACAAAAAATCAAATGAGTTACCTAAAGACATACAAAAATCCCGTATATATTCTCCAATTACTCTACACGATCTAATCATAAACAGCTACACCAACGAATTAAACGAAGATAAAACTAGCAATAGGGAAGATTTAATTCTAAAACTTAGAAAAAGATTTGTCGCCAATTACAATGTGGATACAGTTGCAGTGTTCTCCGGTAGCAGACTGTATATTCTAATGCTCGATTCGAACAGAATCTATAAACAACGTGGTAAATATACATCAAATTCAAACCGATTAATATATTATATTCCAACATAAACAGTTATAACAACAAAAAATATCTGATTAATAAGAACATTGAGGAGAATAACATAAACTGCACATTATTTGTAGAATCCAAAACCAATAGCAACACCAGCACAAATTACAAAAATTGGTCAGTTTTACAACTAGACGGTTATCAACCCAATAATCACACACGAGGTGGAAGTCTAGTACAACTTCATCCGGATCTTATCATGGGTAAGGCTAATAGACCAAGATTAAATAACCCTATCAATGAATATCTCCACTTTACTGTTCCCTTTAAAGACGAAAAGTTGCACATATTTTTAGTATACATTCATCCAAACCTGAGAGTGAAGGAAAATATTTTGGTGATGGCTAGTCTATATAAATATTCAATTATCATAGGAGACTTCAACTGTGGTAATAAATATAAGAAAAAACAAATAAGCAACTTTCTCCAAAATTCACAATTTCTGAAATATAATTTACCTCCAACTTTTTTAATGCCTTTAAATAATGATACTACCCCTGATATGTTTATGTATACAGCAAATATTTCCAGTAATATTATTAGTGTAGAAGTCACACCGGATCTGTGCTCGGATCACCTAAGTCTACAAATTAAAATTGACTTCAAAAAATCTTATAACTCTAGCCCGATAACAAAATATAATTTTAACAAAACAAAAATAAAAAAAGTAAATGAGACTCTAATAAGTTATATCAATAATTCCCAAAATTTAGACCCAAATAAAATCTCAAAATTTATCACTGAACTAACAAATTCTATTTTACAAAATACACCGAAAATTAATCAAAGATTTTACAACTACATATTACCTCCGTTTATATTACAACTTATTAAAAGAAAACGCAAAATGTATAGGGAATATAGAGAACTAGGAGACCCAAATTTAAAGACTAGCATGAACGCTTTTAATAAAAACATTCAAAATCTGATTCGGGAATATAGAAGTAATAAATTTAAAAAAGGCAAATCTTATTGGCAAGATATTAAGAAACTTTAAAAATATAAAAGATCTGCACTTAAGAACAGCGAAATAATAGAGCAAGAGGTAACCTATAATACTGACCGAGAGAAGTGCGAGATTTTCTCTAAAAATTTCGAACGAGTCTACAAGGAAACCAACGATTTCAGGTTTGATGGTAATCATTACAGGGTTGTAGATGACTGGTACAGACTGTTTTTTAATGATATGATTCCGATTTCGAAAGAGGATACATTTATAGAGGACATTTACTACGAAATTCTAGAATCGGGGAAAAATTCTGCACCGGGACATGATAATATTACCAGAAACATACTCAGAAAGCTAGACTTCCGGATTCACGAATATATAATAAAAATTTACAAATATTGCATCAAACATCAGCATATTATTAACGAATGGAAAAAAGGTATCATAATTACACTGCCAAAACCCAATACCGATGACACCCTAACCTCCAATTATAGGCCAATTACGCTACTTCCAGTAATTGGAAAAAACTTTGAGAAAGTTATAAAAAAATTATTAGAGCATAAACTGCTAGAAAGAATTCCTGGACATCAATTTGGATTTAAACCTCATATGTCAACCATCCATCCGCTTACAATTCTACTAAACAATGTGGAAACATCCAAATTAAACAAATTTCAATCTGCCGCTGTTTTTTTGGATATAAGCAAGGCCTTTGATAGTGTATGGATTAAAGGATTGTTGTATAAACTACATCTAATGGACTGCCCCATTCACCTTATTAATATAGTACGCCTACCTCTAGAAAAGCGAGAATTAAGGGTTAAAGTTGGCAATGATTTCTCCAATTCATTTGTTACTCAACAAGGGCTACCCCAAGGATCTCCACTTTCACCTTTTTTATATAATGTTTATTGCGCTGCCATCTACCATCACCGATTTGAAGACATACATTACTTCTCTCATACGTCCTACATGCTGCAATTTGCCGACGACGCCGCTCTAATAACACACGGCCGTTTGGAGATAGTTATACAAAAATTGCAATAATTGACAAACATAACTATGAAATGGTTTAATAAATGGAGGCTTAAAATCAATGCAAATAAAACGTAAATGATCATTTTCAACCATAACATTTCCTATAACTCACCAACAATTTCATTATATATTGTATATATATATTAAAATTAAACTTTAACAGCCATACTAAACTTTTAAAAAAGAAAATAATTACAAGGTCCAAACATTTTAGAAGTTTAACCTACAAAAACTCAGGCATTAGTATGGATACAAGCACAAAAATATACAAAATGATCTGCAGGCCCATCATTGAGTACGGATTTATCCTATTTCTAAATTGCAAAAGACCAGCTATGCAGAACCTAAAGACATCAGAAACAA